TCTCTCTCTGTCTCTCTCCTTCTCCACCCCTCATCCGTCCACCCGCATGGCACACTAATATTATTGGAAGAGAAAAGTTGTTTTTTTAAATGATAGATGAAACCAACCCAATCCTTGCCTTCTCCCACAGAACGGTGGTAGATGTAGAGCAGCACACGACCACCCACTCACCCAAGTCTCGCCGATCTCACCAACACCGCGACCATAAGGGTGGACGCAGTCAGTGGGAGAGGCGGCAACACCGTCGGGGACAACAAGGGAGGAGGTCCATGCCGTGCAGTAATGGCGCCCGAGGTGTTGGAGGGAACCTAAAAACAAAGGCCAGACACTACGGAGTCTCTCCCAACTGCTTGGAAGTTTTGGCTGCATCGAACGGAACTTGTTATCTGGAGAATGACTATATCTGGGTGAGAAACTCACATTACAACTTTAATCGATGCTTGTAGTTTGAAGTATGGTTAGGCATGGACGGTTTTGGATAAATGACCCTTTGAGATGAAAATAAGGAGACTCTTTAAATGTGCGGGCTTATAATTTAGAGTCTTATTTAAATTTTTATCCGCTAAGGAGACCGCGGTAAACGCACCCCCCCCCCCTCCAAATCGGAAATTGCTTAGCCTAGTACGCAAATCTCGGTTCTCCACTCTCTTTGGGGTCACATTTCGGTCCCCTCTATTAACATCATGCGCAAAAGACGCTTTTAAGGGAAGGCGCGGGTCTTTGGCGGCCATTTTCTCACTAATCTTACCTCTGAAAACAGTGGGCCCCAACCTCCTTCTTTGGCAAATATCTTGAGTTGTATTAAAGATAAATGGATATTTTTTTCATCAAATAAACACAAGTGAACAAGCTTTAAGATGATACCAATAACTCTACATGTCCAAAAATTCACGAGAGCCTGATTCCACCACGCTGCCTCACATATAGTCTAGTGCACGTGTAACCTCCGCCCCCCCCCCCTGACCCTTCACCTAGCTTTAAAAATGAGTCAAATATTGCGCTCCATAATGAATCGGAATTACGTCATTGTGAACAAAAGAGTTTAGAATATAACATTAATACAAATGTTCGTTTGCCCTTTTCTCAGGTTGTCGACTTGAAGGGTGGGATCAATGAAGACGTGGACGCGGTCGTCAGCTTTCCGTGTTCTAAGGGCTACAAAGACTCAGTCAACGGGGCCTTCTCGCCGGCCCTTGACGCTTTCTACTTTGCTACAGAAGTGGGGAAAATGTACAGAGGTGAGTAGTGAGCTAGTATAATATAATTTTAAAGAATTAATCTAAAAAATGATAATACTAATGATAATAATAATACATATATATTTTACACACATGTAAA